AGTGTTAAATTAACCAGTTTTATGCTGCGGAATTAGGGTAATTGTCATTTTAAACAAAACTTGGAAATAATTATTCAAGATCTCATGCTCAGACTGTTTTGTAAATCACTCTTTGCTACTACCACATCAAGTTCTAGTTCAATATCTGTTGGCTGTGGTGGCCATATCGAATTGGTTTGACACTGAGCTTTAGTGGTACATCCTGTTTAGTGGTGCATACTGTTAATGATTGTACAGCACCTTGTGAATATATTTTTGTGAAAGGATTTTTATAAATAAAACTTACTTACTTACATCCAATGACTTCTTTGTGGAAACTTCCTCAAAGGGACACGTCATGCTTCTAAATCCTTCATTTTCAAGTTTAAGTGATTCAGTTTGGTCTATGTAAAATGGATCTACAATTCTTCGTTCTGAATTCCTTGTCATTATAGTTCCACAGATCCTCTTTCACCGTTTTTTCTACAGTGTGTCTGAGAACAACTTGTATAGGTGGAATCACTTTAAAAGCAAATATAGCACTTCATACCCCACCTCCCTTCAGGTCTCATGCTGCTTTCCAGTTGTACTCTGAGGTCGGAATTTTGGTCAATACCCAACCAAGAATGACATCATCATTTTAACATGGCTGCTCCTCGCATCAACAGTACGTGAAAGTCTTACTTTTACGAATTTTAGCAGTTCTGTGTTGTTTACTTGTCAAACATACTTATAGTACTTTATAGCGRTTATTAGGTGATCTGTTTTGATCATTTCTTATTTTCATAGCAAATATTTGAATATGTGTCTGTGGTGCAGAAACCTTTTATTTACATTGATAAAACAGCGGAAGACTCATCCGTCCAGCCTTACACCTTGAATATAGCCTGGTAAAAACCAGACCCTTGTCCTTCGCTTTGCTTCGTACGAGGGTCTGGACTCTCGGCTATAGAGAAACGATTCTTGCTGGAGGCGTGGCCTCTKTTGAAGTTTAAAACGATTGGATCTGTTGGCTGCGACGTGTGTGTGACGTATGTCGCCAGCTCCACTGTGAAGGAGGCTAAGCTAAGAAGCTAACCGGWAATTGCGTGCGCTGTAAACAACCCTATTGAGAGGAGAGAAGTACCGAGCCGAACAAGACGGCTGTAAATGAGAGCTGCTGCTTTGTCAGATAAATTTAATTTAATTTGGAAGCCTTTTCAACACGGACTGGCTTCATTCACTTCCTCCACTGCCATWTGCTAAACTAACTAGCAGACATTGCTTAGAAAATCAACGTTCTGTTCTCTGATTGGCCCAGACAAAAATTCTCCTGTAGAAATCCTTGTCTATGGGAGAAATCCCAGAAGGAGCAGTGAAGTGAAACTAGAATTGAACAGAACTGCGGAAGGCAAGGGCCAGGCTATTTTGAATACAGAGTTTGACCCAGAACGAGAGGAGAATGAAGACGACAAACTTGCAGAACCTCAAATTTGCATAATTGGTTAGCCAGAATTCCATGGCCTTGTTTTCAAGTTCTGCAGCAAAATGTGATGGTGATATTCAAAATACATAGGTAAACAGAACAGTTTGATAAATATGACTCAAACAGAATACAAAGATTTCWACATAGCACCGGGAGAGACTAAATTCAAATTTTCTGCACTCCTACAGTCTCCCAAGTACACAACAAAATGTATTTAAGGGCTGAAAAAGTGAATTTTGCATCATATTTCMACTTTAAAATCCATCCAGTAGTTCATAAGATATTTTGCTGACAGAAACGCGAACAATTATTTAACAATTATTTAAAAAAAGGCATGAAAAYTGACTGGCAAATCTGGAAATTTGAGTCTGGAAGGCAACCCTGTCTTGACTAAGAACTGACTGATAGAAATGGGAGACAAATTCCCCCAAAAGAAAAAAAAAAAAAAACCTGAACAATTATCTTTCTTATACATCTCCGTATGTGCAGCTCCATTCAAGCAGACACTGACAGAAACTTTGCCTCTGATCTCTCATCTCGCCGCATCACTTCTCCATTCAAGTGTCAGAATGTGCATAAGCAAAGTGGACTCCCGCCGTGCTGCAGCAGTTACACTGTTCATCAAGTAATGACTCCGACCCCACACTTTATTTACATACAACTTCACTGATGTGCTGTGTTTCAGCAGCAAAAAATAAATAAATAAATAAATAAAATAAAATAAATAAAAAATAAAAATAACACACTAAAACGGGATGGGATTTTATTTTTATCTGTCTCTGGGTTCCAGGGGAATATTTCAGGGCATGCTCGGATATATGTGTACTTGTAATTTAGCACGTGCAGCCTTAATGAGCGCCGAAGCGTAAACAGCACGCTGTGCACACCGGAACATACAGTGTGTGTTTGTGGGTTTGTCACTGTAATGAAATCGAACAGCACGCCGTTGCTACTTTACTATACTTTAATTTATTGTCAATTCCAGTAATTTTGGCCTCTTACTCAGAGGATAATTGGCGCCGGCGCTGCACGTCTTTTTCGCCGAGTGCATCCCCCATYGCTGTCTGCGCTGGAGATGGCCCACAGCTGATACTCGGGCTCACATTTGGAGAGAAATGACTGAAAGTTTTAGCCTCGCAAGTCAGACCTCTCTTACAGCAAGGTCTAGCGAAGAAGAATCCGATCCATAATTGCTGTCCAATTATATTTGCTTCAAGCTGTACTGCTGAGACTAATTGCTTCATGAATAATTTCAGTTCGAACTCCAGCGCTGCACTCTGCACGCCGTGTGACACAGACGAGAGATGGCCGCTAAAAGTGACCCCAAATTTCTTCATTCTGAAAGCAGTTGGGTTTTCTATTCGAAGCAGCTCTCTTGTTACTGTCACTCAGCTACGCCAAGGTTTTAGACTTGAAAGGGTTCATTTTTGTTTGTTTTGACTCACTACAGGTATTTTTTTTATCTTCTTTTGATTTGTCTCTGTATTTATTTATTTTTTTGCCTCTTATCACATTACTGTTAAGGCCATGAAGTATCCAAAAACTTGTTGAAATACAAGTGTTATTATTTTTTTACTCCTCTCTGCAGCAGTAAACATACCAGTGGGTAAGAAATGACCCTGTTCTTCATATTAAATAACTAAATGCCTAGATATAATATACTATGTGAAATGACTACTTGTGACAGAATATGAACTAATGAAAGTGAATAGAAATAACAGAACAGGTACTTTTTATTTACTTAATTAATTTTATGGAACTCAAGCTTGTCAAAATAACTTGTTTTCCTTACTTGCSCATATTTTCCATYCATTGTCWTAACCCATTTCTTCCTTTCAGGGTCATGGATGCCCATAGCCAGTAGTCACTGTGAGAGGGGTGGGGGACACCATGGACAGGTCATAAGTCCATCACAGGGACACATTTAKACAAAYGACCATTCACTCTSTCACACCTAGGGACAATTTAGAGTTACCAATCAGACTAACAATCATGTTCATGGTTTGTGGGAGGAAACCAAAGTACACAGAGAAAACCCACTCATGCATGGACAGAACATGCAAACTTTACCCAGAAAGATCCYGCATCGGGACTTGATCCTGCAACCTTCTTGGTGAGAAGCAACAGCTCTACCAACTGAGCCTCTGTGCCTCCTATTTTCCTCCTCTTATATATTTCGATAGAGTATAGTTWTCTGATGCAGTCTGTAAAACCAAAATACTGGCACTGGTTTTACATTGGRTCATGGTTGTCCCGCCTCTGGATTTAGCTGCTTTTTCTCACTGTATCATATATGTTCATCTAATATGAAGGTAAATAATAAGAAATACAAGAGCTAGAAAATAAAATGACAGTAGAAAATAAGAGTTCCCTTGAATTATGTAAATGTAGAGGTATAAAATAAGCATTTGCTTGAATAAATAAAAACAGATTATAGAAGAACAATACCTTTTTAAAAGAAGTTGTAATATAAATGTACTATTGTTATTTACTTACTGAATTACTCATCTTGGAAAACTAAATTAAAAAACACTTTCTACCCAAATAAATGACTAACTACAGAATTTAGATTTGTTTGTGTGAATACTTTTTAATAACTGATTTGCACATTTGCAAAAGTGAACATTTATTATTTCATATCTGTGACAATATGCAAATTTACACTTTGCTTATTTACACAGTATAGTTATTTGCTGTTCTAAAATTGTATCAGTATTACACAACTATTTATACCATACATTCTGCATTGTAATCACTAATTTACTTACAAGGAGAACATTCAAACTCTGCACAGAAAGATCCCAGGTGCTGTGAGGCATCAATGCTAACCACTGAGCCGTCATTGCTGCCAACCAAACGCCTCAACTAAATCAATACCACCCCCCCTTGAAACACCTAATGATGCCTACCTTGATTTTAATTTAAGATGCAAATCAATGGGAATAAACTTATAAAACCTTGTGGTGAAATAAATCATCTTAGTGATGTGATTTATGCTTGAAAGATTTTCGCCTGTTGGCCTGGTTGGATGGTGTCCAAAATATCCAAACGTGATTTGTGCTGGTAAATTACAACTTTCTCACCGTTTAATTAGTGAGGTATCAACTCCAACAARCCCCCACCTCGCCTTTCTGTTCGCACACATTTACTCAGTCACTCATCAGAACAGGTCAGGAGCAGCAGACTCGACCAGGGCCTGCCTTTGTTTAATTGGCTGCTTAACAAGGCTTGGRGACCGTGTCACCGCGGCCCCTGTGATGGCCCCGGGGCCGTGTGGCCATGCCGCTTGTACCCGCTGGGCTTCCTGCTCCCCAGCAGCACTAATTAAAACATGCGTGGCACCGTCGTCTCTGGTGTGGTGGCACGGGGTTAATGTGTGTACACCAGCCTGGGCTACACTTCTTCCGACATGATGAGCCTCCAGTAATGATTTTCTAGATTGGCTCTCTAAGTCATTTGCTGACCGCTGGCCATTTTTTCTCCACAACTCCTCCACCTGCTCCTCCTCCGCCTTCACTTTTTTCCCTACTTTGGTGAAACTTTTTCTTTTTCATATGTGAGGGTCAGAAGGGGCTGTCAGTGTTTGCTCAAAGGTAAGCATGTCAGGTTGTCAGGGAGGGCTTGAATTCGACTGTCCTGTCCAAATGTGTTTCCCTCCCGTCCTCTGTCATTCCCTCGCACACTGCAGAAATTGGCTTTTTGATTATTTCATCTCTGTGTTGCAGAGCTCCTCTTAATAAATAATGACGGGCTGATTGATTTCTCCCTTCGCTGTTCCCTCCAACCATCCTTCTTCTTCATCACGTTTTCCATCAGAACATGTTCCCTTCACTCCCCTTTCATACAAGACATGATCCTTACTTTTCTATTCTTTCTGTCATCCAACAGCATGCCATGATGCTCCCTGTTCTCACCCATCACATCCGATACCACCAGTGTCTGATGCACCTGGATAAGTTGATTGGCTACGTCTTCAAGGACCGCTGCCTCCTTCAGGTAAGGCCCAGTGACACACTGGTGCATACACATCAAAAGCTGCATTATTTACAGGCTGGTATAGCTGGTAACTTGGTGGGTCCAGGTCATCGGCTGGTGATCRGAATTGTAGGTCTAGAACTGCCTGTCCCTTTCTTGGAGGGAAAMCAAAAACAACACAAGTAGACGGTGATTTCAACACCAGAAGAAGAATGGTTAGAATTTAAAATGTGATCAGACTTAGAAGAAATACTTCAGTAATTGATATAATTTTAAAAATTTGYCACAGGTGTGTATAACTACGTCACAAGATTTGAGAGCATTGTGAAATGAGGAGGAACTGGCAAAAAGAAAACTCAAAATTCTTCTTCCTTTTTTTATTTTATTTTTTTACAATTTCCTATTTTGAACCCCTGAGTGCCACGCACACACGCACACACAACACAATACACATAGAGACTGAGTGACAGATAGGCATGCTTCAGTAAAACGATGCTTTAACTTGGTATTTTCTGATTGTTTAGCTGGTGACTGGAATCAGACAATTTTCTGTTTCACTGACAGTGACTGTCCTGTCCTACACACAAAAAAATCTATTTTATTTTTATTTTATGAATGTTTCATAGCTGTTTTGTAAAGTGTTTAAAAATCAAGTCAGAGAAAACACAAACTATAAGTAAAAAGTGTTTTCTTGGTCGATTTATTTGGTGTGCAAAACATTTGGATTGTCTAGTTGAATGGATTTTGATGTCACTCTTGCATTTTTGGTATCATGATCAATTTTACAAAACAAAATTATGAATARCATTATATGCCAGCAGAGGTTTCAAAATAGACTAATTACATCAATGTTGCATCTGTTTTTGCAAATGCCTTAGTGTAGTTTTTCCCTGGGTTGTTGCTGGTGGAAACTAGTTATCGATTAAAAGAATTGTGAGAAAATAGGCAAATGTCCTGTTTAAGTGTCACTGAATCAACCAAGTGACTAGCTGCTTTTAATGTGGTTCAGTCAAATATGGGTGATCTAAAACTTGTCTTGAATAAATCTAAAGTAATGCTGTTTTCTAACACTAAACCAAAGTCTAAACCACAGTTGTTGCTGCCCATTATCACATTTCAAGGCTCTCGGAATGAGTTAGAATCTCAATATAAAAACGTAGTTTTATTATTGATGGATCTTCGAACTTTGTTACCCATATTGAACAAGTGGTAAAAAAGTAGAAAATAATGTTGGGAAGTTGGATTTTTATTTTAGAATTAGAGCTGCCACATTTTTGCCCATCTTAAACTACAGAGATGTGATTTATATGATATTATCTTCTCCCTGGTTGCATTTGTTGGGCTCTGTATACTAAGGAGCCTTTTATTTTATCACAGGTCTTAGAGGCTTTACTCACTGCTGTCTTCTGCATACCAGTGTATACCTGCAGATTCACTCATTGGTCCAATCTAATTTACAAAGCAAACTTGGGTTTACTCCGCCCTTAACTCCTGTTCGATATCATTAAAAAAAACTCAAGAGGTCGTTTTCTGCACTCAGATGAGTTCATTTTACTAACTGTACCTAAGGTTTGCACTGTTGACAGCAAAAGTTCCTTTCACTTTGCTGCTCCTTGAGACTGGAATCTACTGCAGAGAGACGAAGTTGAAGGAGCCGGTCTATTTGAATGTTTTTAGGGCCATTCTTAAACATGAGACATTTGTTTGTAAATGTTTTGACTGATTTTRTACTCCATTTTAAGTCTATCGTTTTTTCTGTTTTTTATATTTTATTTATCTTGATATATTTAATTGTACTTTAATATCTGTGGTTTGAGATTTGGTAATGTCTGTGCCAAGTGTTTAGCCATTCTCTTGGTCTCCCTTGAAAAACAGATTTTTAAATACATGGTATTTAAATAAATAAAACTAGCGAACAATGCTGCATTTCTCACAACCAGTTTTGGAAAGTCATAGCTCTCTTTTGACATAATGGCTTAAAAGTAAAAACTTACAGCATTTTATGATATTTGAAGGAGTGTCCAATTTTTTAGAGACTTTGGCTACGTTCACACTGCAGGCAAATCCGACCCAAATCCGATTTTTTTGACCCATCTGACTCATATCCGATTTTTTTATGACAGTCTGAACGCGACAAATCCGATTTTTTCAAGTCCGACTCAGGCCGTTTCAGTATGTGGTTTTAAATCGGATTCATATCTGATGTTTTCAAAGTGACTG